TATATAAATATTTTGTGGTAGCAAAATGATACTTTACGATCCCGTAACAATTTTTGGAGTCATGACCGCTACCTCTAGTTACGCCACTGARGAGGAGGCTGTAAGAGCCCTTTATCTGTTTAACCTTATCTTAGTTTAAAATATCAATTACCAGATTTGTACTGTTGATACAATTTTAGCGATGAGGGGGTGAGGCAGATAAGTTTTTCTAACTAATAAGTAAAGAAAAAAATAATTTCTGTTGAAACTCATCGAAAGTCTTAAATTTACCTATTTTTTTTTTTTTTATCAAATATTCTATTGTTTGAAACAGTATACAATTTATCTTATACAAGAATCATGAAAAAATAATTTTGAAAATCAGTACATTACTAACTTTACTCAAGAATTAGATAAATCTTAGACATAAAAGTAAAATATCAAATATTAGATATTATTTAATTACAATTTTTATCATTTTCTCATTTTTTAGGAATGTCAAATGAAGCTAATTATGAAACGCTGCAAGCTCTGTATGAAATGAGGCGTAATGAAGTAAATAGATTAGAAAAAGAATTATCTGAATTTAAAATGCAAGCAGAAGCAGAAATTGATAATCTYCGTAAAAATTTGTTAATCAAAGAATCTGAAGGTCAAAGGACAGTCATGGAGTATCAGCGTCAATGTGGTAATAATTTGTAAATACAGTTAAAACTCTTTATAACAAAACTCGTTACAACGAAAAACTCTATATTACGTAAATAACATTAAATAAACTTATAATGATAGGTTTGATTTAAAACCTATTAATTACTCTCTATTACGAAAACTCTCAATTAACGAAAGAAATCGTGGTAAAAAACATGGTCCCTTCAGATTCTTTATAGAGAGTTTTCACTGTAATAGTTATAGAAACAATCATTATAGCTATTTTAATAATTATAGATAAAATCTTATTTAGTAAATAACAGTAATGCTTAATGTGAGGGTAACAATTATTATTTATTATCCTATAAGAATAATTTATTGCATTTTAAGATATTTATATAACCTAATATATATATATTATATATAGTCATAYAGACAATACATAAAAAATTATTTTGCATGTAATTTTTAAATTGTAGGTATAGATTTGATATTTACTGGTATTTTTATGTATTATAATATACAAACTTTCTCTGGTGAATGGTAGATGTTAACTGTACTWCAAAATTGAGTAGGTGATAAATCATTGCATAAAAAAAAACGATTCTAAATTTGYTCTGACTTTAAATGTTCATAATGTGGCTTGGCATGGTGCATTGACTGCTACCAATCGCGGAATGCAACTGGGAGTAAGTAACGACCACAGCTACTAGCTCCCGGATGGGCGACCATTCGGGTTCATAGTAGTTAAAAACCTTGCCACACATTCTCGTGTGCTACCTACCATAACAACCATAAAACAACCTACCATACCAAAACCTTACCCCTACCACAATTTATATCCCCAACAGCTACTGGCCTTAATCGCCGTGCTTAAGATCAATTAAAAAAAAAAATGTTCATAATGTTCTGAAAAAAGTTATAAAGGTACTTATGACAAGAAAAATTGGAAAATACTGATAGGCCTTTTTTAATAATTTTAACTTATAATTTTGATATTTGGTCATTAGGACAARGTATTTGATTTTTTGGAGAGTAGGGAATTGGAAGACCGTAGATCAAATTTTTAAGTTTAAAATAATGCGWTTTAGGGTTTTCTAAAGTTGTACAGTTACCGACTAACGATAATATTATAAACCACAAGATCGTATTAGTATATCTAGAGAAATGAATGGTATAAATGTTTTGGATGTAATAGTTTGTCTGGAGCTGTGAAATGGTTATAAAACAAATTGATAAATTTACTTAACAGTTTCTATAATACAATTATTTGATAGTCTTTCTGTAAATTAAATATTATTTATTTTACATTTAAATTAAAAATGGATGTTCTAAATAAATATTTTTACTTTTTAAAAGAATTCTACAGAGTAATCCATTTAAGTGTTATGTTTTACTTTTTTGAATAACATGCAATTTATTATAATTTTATATATATWTTTTTTTTTAAAGTTTAAAACAACAACGATAATATTTTGATTTTAAAGCCAAATTTCACCAATTTAAAAATAATAATAAATAATTGGTTTGAAAATGTTTGTTAGTCAAGATATTTATTTTGTTTCATACTAAATAATATAATATTTTTATTTTGCTTAGAGAATCTTAAAGAAAATATTGAACATTTGGAAAATCAAAATTTAACATTAAAACTTGATTTAGAAACAAAAGATACAATAAATTCCAAGGTAAGTTATTTAAAAATGCATTATATGTTTGTATTCATACTTATAGTTATTTAATATTGATTATAGCAAGCTAAAGAGCTGGAAACAATTCGAATTAATATGAAAGCTCTGGAAGAACAACTTACTAACCTCTCACGTAATAATGGTTCAAGGCAATATGATACAAACGTGGACTGTATTGTAAATGATTTGAAAAAAAAACATAACCAAGAAGTAGTTAATTTACAGAATCAATACAAAAGTGTTATAGAACAAATACGTTTTAAAGTATAAAATTGGTTGCAAGGTCAAAAATTTAATATTTTATTTAGCATCATATTTTTTATAGGATCGTCATTGTACTTTGTTAACAAACGAGCTAAAGAAACTGCAACAAGAACACCATCGTATTATATCAGAAAATAATGATTTGATTTCTAATCTAAAAAAAGAGTTGAATGCAGCACAACAAAATAAACTACCGATTTCCAATAACTATGATCACATTTTAAATTTAAACAGTCAACTTATTGAATGTTCCAAACAAAATCAACAACTAAATAATACATTACAAAAGCTAACAGTAAGTAAAAATAAGTTTTTAAATAATAACTAATGATTCAAATTTTACTTTTCAGTTTTTGTGTTTAGGTTGAAAATGAGAAACTTCATACTAATTTGAATGATTCACGGGTTTGCAATGACTTGCATAATATTAATGATGGAAGTAAATTAGAAGAAGATTATCAGAAAAGTTTAGATTTATTACAAAAACAAAGAGATGAAGTAAAAAATTTAACAGAAGTGTTAAATGTTAAAAATAGAAGTATTGCTGAATTGGAAAAGAAAGAAATAACATATCAACATTGTATACGTAAAATACAGGTATTAGTACAKTGAATATTATGGTTACCTAATATCTTATTTAAAATTAAAATATATGTATATTATCTATACATTATTATAATAACCTATTTATATAAATTATTATGTTTCAGTTAGAATTAGAGAAATATTCTCGTGATAAAAGTCAAATTGGTGAACATTCTAATAATTGTGAAACACTTCGAAATGCTTTAGAATTGCAACTTGAAGATACTATGTGTAAGCTAATTCGAACAGAAGAAATGGCTACACTTTCAAAACAAACAATTGAAAATGATAATCCAATAAACAATAATTCAATTGAAGAATATATGCATTACCATCAATCATCATTGGAAAATATTTCAAAACAAAAGGACGAGGAAATAGAAAAACTTAAGTATGTTTCAGAGTTAAATAAATAATAGTTAGAAAATAATATTCATTGTAATGTTAAAAATTTGAAATTATAGAAATCGAATGGAAGAATATGTAAAGGAAATTGATGAACTAAAACAGCTTTATGTTAAAGTATGTTCAGAGAAAGAAAATTGTTTAAATGAAAAAGACAAATTAGAAAAACGTTTTGATGAATTATCTTCTCAATTTGAAACACTAAATAAACAATATGATACCATAGTGAAAGGTATGTATTAATTGTTATTTGAATTACATAGGAATTTAAAATGTTATATTTTTGTAGAAAAAGAAGAATTGGCTATCAAATTAATTGGTATGAAKAAAGAAATGAATGTTGATCAAGATTCTTTTCAAAAACAATCAGTAAGCTTTTAAATAATTATTTTTATCAAATAGAAAATATTGAATTTAATCAAATGGTTTTTTTTTACAAGTTAATAAAAGAAATTGAAGATTTAAAAAATGAATTATTGATGCATAAACGTCAAAAAGAGATGATTGCTAAATTAAAAATTGATTTAATCCAATCTAAAGAAAGAGTATTGTCCTTGGAACAACGATTACAATCAGAGTGTGATTCTAAAGTGGCTACTTATATTGAACAGTTAGAAAATTTAAAAAAACAGTATGAGGAAAAGGTAACAAAATATAATAATTAATTTATGCTTTACTAGTATTTAAATGTAAAAGTTGTATACATGTTGTAAAACATTTAGGTTGATGAATTAAAACAAGCAAAAGATATCATTTGTAAGTTGACCAATTCTGATCTACAAATGTCTTCTGATGTAAACAGTGATGAAAAAACTTTAAAGTCAAAATTATTAGATTATGAAAATTCACTGTCTAATATAGAAAGGAAACATAAACTAGCGATGAATGAAATGACATTTAAATACAAAAATGAATTAGATGAGTTAGAGATGATTTACAATAAAAAATTCAGTACGTACAAAATCAAAA